AATATTTGTAAAATTTAAAAGCATTTTTAGTTTCTATCTTTAAATCTTTAGAAATACATAAATAAAATATTATAACAAGGGCAGTTTATATTTAAAAACTGTAGAATCCGAATATATAAAGACTTCAACTCGTTATACCACTTAGCTCTCATATATATGGAGTTAATTTGATTTCATTTTCCCCATCAAGGTCAGCTCAACTTAAACAAAAATAGTTAACAAATAATTAAAATAATTTTTTTTATTTTCATATTCCCTGCAATATTTCATAGAAACAAATTCTTAGCTGTCAGCCTCCATAGTCCATAGATCACAATCGCAGCATGTGGCCGTCAGATCGCTTGAATTGGACACTGAATATGGCACGTAGACACACGACACGCAAATAGCCCATGTTGGGGGTATTCCCGCTATCAATTAGCCGATGGGGGTGATGCAGGCCCCGAATGATAAGCGATCACTGATTGAGTTTGGGCCATGATTAGTTGTAATTGTATAAACCAAGTTAAGGATGTTGAAATGATTTAATTACAACACAAAAAACAAGTAAGCTCAGAAGTGTTCGACTAAGAGATACCTCGCACCCAGACAGAAAGAGGGACAGAGGAATGTGGGGTCAGATGGCAGATGGAATAGACTGCAGAAACTGCGAGGGGTATATGTAAAAGATACATCTAAAAAATATCTTTATAAAAGATATTTACTTGGTATATGTGAGACGAATCCTTGGGATATCTTCGAGGTACCTCTGAGATATCTTTCATGATAGTATGACAGAGCTATACCAGAGGTTTCTTTCCAATATATATAGTTCAAATTTAGATTGAAGGCATCAGCAAAATGAATGCAGCTTGTAAAACATTTGATTGCCTGCACTTGCGATGTAATTGATGGAAGCTTCTATGAATTTAACACAGTCATTATTTATGGCCGCCGCTGGTCAAAGAAAACTCTTTGGCTAGGAAAAGTCACATTTGGCAGCATTAAAATAATTTCAAAACACATAAATTTTGAGTTATTGCCGCACAGAGTCCATGCACGGAACCTGGCGGCACGACGTGGCCGACTCTTAAAATCAATTTAGTGGGCCGCAAAGTGGGAACGACGAGAATGAAATGCATGTGGAAGCGAAACGGATGACTGTTGGGCTGTGCGCTGCATGTGGGGGAGCGAGACAGGCGACTTTTGAGGATGGGATGCGATGCGAGGCGGTGCAATGCAGTGGGCCGCAGTGTTTGCACCATAATTAGAGGCAATTTCAAACGTTTGCCGCACGACCGTGCGGCTTTGGGGCCCACCGTGGCAGTGAAGTAGAGGAGTCCACTTAAATTGATTTATGAGCGCCTGATCGGGCGCATTTGTCAGGCCGTCGGCAGTCGTAGTTCAGTTGGGTTGCCTTCTTCCCTGTAGTTGCTTCTGTTAATTAAATTTGCATAAGTGGGCGCACATTTGACAGTGGGCGCGGCAGTGCATTACAGCTGCTTGCTACTGATTTTCAGGTAAGCAGACAAAATAAAAGGTTCTGACTGAGACGTCGTGACCTTGGCCCAATTTTTTCTTTGCGTTTTTCTTGTCTGCCCCTAACAAGGCGGCAAGGGTCAAGGGGTCAGCTGAGAGACAATGCGGCACTTAATGAAGAGGCCGCGCGTATTCTGACATTTGTCAACGATTGCATTCCAATAGTTTCTCAGGCTTTCCGCAAACCGATTTGTAATTTAATCAGCGTAACATTGTCTAACCGTGGGTAAGAATTAATATTTTGACTTCCTTTTTATTGCCAGAGAAGGAGAGAGAGATAGCGATGTGCACGTAACCTCAATGTGGGCCAACCTAACGAGCAGTCTAACTAACGGCGAAGTCAATTACAAATGGCAAACAAAAAGCAATAGCAATAACAAATCGAAACATGCATAGACACATACACACATAAACACATGCGCTTCTACTCTGTCACACACACGCATACCCATGCGTGTTTTTTTCTGACAATGCAATAAATGAACAACTTTTCGAAACGAAAGTGTCGATAGGCCGCATGTTCGAAGTTCGAACTAACCGAACAACAAAAAATCAGCGAAGGGAAAGAGAGAGGGGAATTGAGAGCGAGGAGGAGAGAGAGCGCAGCCAGTAGCTAAAAAGGAAGTGCCATAAAAATGCAATTTTAGATTTCATCAACTGATAAGAAAAGTTTTCAAATTAGCCACAAAATGGAATATGAAATGCGAATATTGCGAATGGAAACTGTAAAATGAACAACAAACAAGAACATCTATACACATGCTTGATTAGAAAAAACAAATGTGCTCTAGTTAGCAGTGGCACGACTAAGATATACCCTGAATGAGCGACAGTTGAAAAAGACAAGGTAAAGAATTAGAGCTGAGTTTGATTAGCTGCATGACTTAGAGATACTCTTAAAAGAGTGAGCCCCGATTAAAACATTTAAGTATTACATATAAGTTATCTAATATAAATATATTTCAATTTTCAAATGTTACATCAACTGTAAACAAAACCAATATACCCATACAACAAGTCATCGCCGGGTACAGGGTATAATAAGGACAACAGCGTATGAGAGAATGGTTAACTAACGGTAAGGCAGCCGCTGTCAGTCGGCCTACAAATGGCAGGCGTCACGCCAAAATACCGTTAGAAAGTTTTATGCTTGCAATTGGGCTCCACTGCGGTGTATCCCTAGCTTCAGCGACCACCCATGCCCGAAAGCCGCCCGCGCGTCCAATATATGTAAAATGTGAGCACTGAGTGCAGCAAAAGTATCAATTTCACTTTATCAAATGGCAGCAATCGCAGTGCCAGAGATTAAAATAATAATCGAAAAGGATAAGAAAGACAAGAATGCAAAGAAATGCATTCAACCAAACAGTCGGCGTCGTCGGCCAATCTTAAAGTGCTGATCAATGGCAGAGCAGAGTAGGCAGCAGCAGCAACAGTAGACATCGCTCAACATAATTAACGCCATATAATAGAAACTCGCTCGGATTGGTAACAGCATCCGCATTCCGCATTCCGCATTCCGGATTTGGGCACAAACAGTAGCTGATGCGGCGCCTGCAGGATTTGTACAAATGTTAATGATGATCCCTCCATCATAGAGGGTAGCTACCTGTGTGTTAGTGTGTGTGTGTGTGCGTGAGCTGTTGTTTGCTTTTACAATTTTATCAGTGCAACTGGTGCTAATCCTGCGGGGCGGCAAGTTGTTTGTTTTGGTTTTAGGCAGATTTGCCAAATGCTGATGTGATTTTAATTAGGGCACGCATATTAAAGTTATTTTTAAATATGTAAGAAAAAACTAAGGATGCACCAAGAATTTACATCGAATAAGTTAAGATTTAAATATTTGCTGTAAATGTCGTTTAATATTTGAATTCAAATTCAAATTCAAATTCAAATTCAAATTCAAAATCAAATTCTATTAATTGTAACGTATTTAAATGTCTTCAAATACTATAGCACTTATATTAATTTTTTCGCAGTCTGGCAACACTATATTCAGTGTTGCAAACTGCCTTACATTAAATAAATATGGTAGCTACTGCGTATTTATATGTTGATTGTCAGTATTTTTCGTATATTTATTACTAAAAATTCAATATTTTTTTGCTTACAACAAACATCCAGCAGCAGTCTTGGTTTTTAACAAGTCGTTCGTGGGTCGTGTAAATATTGTAAGAATATTTTGTAAATTTGTAAAGGCATAAAAGTCAAATATACAAGTGACTATTTGATTTATTTATATGTTTACATGTGACAAAAGAAATTACTTAACGAAATGTTATGTTATCGACAAAGACAGCAACAGCAGCAGAATGCACACCAATACACAGATGCGCGTACATGTAGCCATACATATGCATATGTATATTTTCCGTCTACGTTTCAATTTGATTTTCGGAAATTTCACCTTCGCTTTGCTGTTTTCGGCTATTTCAAACTTGTTTTTCAGCTGTGTCTGTTTCATAGTCTCATTTTTTTTCTTTCGCTTACCTTTGCCAGCCGCTCACTTTTTTCATTTGCTTACGTATTACGTGTATAAGTGTGCGTGCGTTTCACGAAATTATCGCTAATTTGCACTAAAATGGGTTGTAAAGTGGTATAATTGGATGCGTATTCAAATACATACATAACGCACAAACATATATTTACATGTCTGAGACTTGCTACTACTAGAGATCAGCTGTAATTTACATAAAGAAATTGGCAACGCTTACACAGCACGTGTAAGTGTAGGTTTTACACATATGCATGTGTTTGCTCTGTGTGTTTGTGTGTGTTATCGCTAAAGGTGCTGTGCTCGTACATACTTGACGAGTAATTTTGTCATACATACACATATGCACATACGTACGCTCATATGTATGAAATGTTTATTTGCATTCAATTGTGATATCGTCTAAGGAAAAAGAATCGCAATCGCGGTGTCTATGCAATTGATAAATGTTAGTGGAATGCGCTCTCGGTTTGCATAAATAATGCGTAGTTGTTGCGAAATGTGTGTCAATATGTGAGCCAACGACGCGTTAAACCAGCAGGTGCAGCTGTCTAGTGTTGTAAAATGAATCGAATACATATGCTATGTTTGTATTTATGTGAGCCCTGCGTGCGTGTGCGTGTGTGAACAGTGCAAACATATGGCAAAAATGTCACAAACAAAAAAAATTCAATAATAATTGTTGCATTCTCTTCGCAGCCCCAATGTTGCTTAACTGTAACGGACTGAAATAATGGGATCAAAGCTAACGTAACTGTGCTCCTCGCTATATTGCCGTGTCGCACAAGAATCCAAATACCAATGCCAAATGTGACAAAGCGAACGCGTGAATGCCGCCCCGAAGGAGTAGCAAACGAATTAAATAGAAATATAAATCGAATTATAAGCAAATCAACAAGAATAGCAGTTACATACCGGCTACGGAACGTACCTCTAACAATATTATAATTTTGATTTAATTTTATTTCGTTTTGCATCGATTAAAACGTGTTTGTTTGCGTGCAACAACTTTTTCCACCGTGTCCCGGCGTGTGTGCGAAAAAGTCTTGCAACGTTCAAAACAACACGTCGATAAGTACGGCCGCAAAAATTCCTAAATCCGTGGCAGCAAGTAAACTGCAGCGCCTCAAAGCCAAAGCAGCTGCAAGTCAACATTACGGCGGCAGTTATCGTAAGTCCGGTAACAGCGGCGGCAACGGCGGCGGTGGAGGTGGTGGTGTCGGCGGCGTAGGCAGCGGCAGCGGCAGCGCAGCTGGCAGCGATTTAGCTAATTTTACAACAACAAGCGGCTACAACTATCAACGCGGTGGCGCTGCGGAGGAGCGTAGCTTTGCTGCAACAGCGGCGACGTCGGCGTTGGCGTTGGCGTCTTCAGCTGCCGACACTGTTGGCGACAAGTCATATCAATACAGCAACAACAACAACAACATCAGCACTAGCAACAACAATTATCAAAAGTCAAACTACACCAGTGCCAATTACAATAATCAGAATCCAACAACCAACCACCTGCCTTATCAGCCTACACCATACTCCTCCCACAACAACAACAACAGCAACATCAGCAGCAATAACAACATCAATAACGGAAACGGGGGAACGATGATGATGACCAAACAAAAGCCAACGCTTACCGAACGCCTCAACATCAGTGGGGATGAGGTTCGCGAGCTTAAATTGGGTGCCACATTCAATCCAAAAAACACAGCGACCGCATTTCACACAATCAAATGTGAGTTGAGCTTTTAGTTGTTCATCAACAGCAACAATTCCATTTGCTTTCGATGTTTGTGTCAGTTCTGATTACTTATGCAATCGTCTACGATTTCCAGATGACTTTAAGCCAGCGAGTGTGGATACGAGCCGAATGGCAACTGTGGATGTTGGCTCCAATAATCAAGTTACTGTTACCGTGCCAAATTTAGGTGAGTTTCCATATCAAGCAACTCCTTTGAACGCGTTATCGATATTGCCAAATAGACATTACCAATCTAAAAAGACATTCTATCGATATTGCCAAAAACACAGCTCCTTACTTCGTTCTATCGATATTGTATGCATGTAATATAAATATCGATATCTTAAAGTGTTAATAATATGCATTCCACATTCATATGCATTTGGCATAGGCTATTAGGTATGGCAAATGCAAATTTAGAAATTGAAATGCAAGTTAGTTAATCGAATTTCGCATTGAACTAATGAATCATCGATGACAGTTACTTTAAGCGAATACGTTTGCAATGACAAAAATTTAAATTGTAATTTCCAACGACAGTTTCTTCAATAAACATATTCACATCATTTCTAAGGCTAAGGAACATCAAATTATCTGAAAGAATCCATTTAGTTATCAAGTTTATTATGATTTTTTATTGTCCCGTGAACACTTAACGTCAAATCTGTCAGTAAACCCGTCAGAAGTAACAACCCAAACTTGTTTCTTCGTTAGTGAAAGTCACATTGATGAATTGCCAAAAAGAAGACACGCAAGCGTTTTCATTGAATATTCAATTCAATTCCATTTATAAAATTACATATTAAGTATGCTAATAAACAGAACATGTTGTCGAGACTGTTGACAAGATACGAAACAGCGACTATATCGATTCCTCGCACATTAACCCCGGGCACAGCTGATCGATACGCTGAAAAAACTCCTGATTATGAGTCATAATTGAGTAGCTTTTGTTGTAACAAAGAATAAGTTAGCTGCTCGAAACTGACTTCTTATTTCATGGAAAATACGCGAAACTGAAAATGCGAAATTCCAGTTTTCTTATATTTATGTATTCAATGTACTTTGGCTGTTTTGTTTAGCCATCTCTGCTGTCTGCTGATGACATAAACAGCACACAAATTAAGAGTTTGCCCAATGCATTACTTGGAGGCAACACAAAGTACAATGTGTGCTGTCATTTGTAGCTCAACAGCCAGATACCCTTCTTAACACTTTCGATTGCTGACGAAAATAGGTAAAATAGAAGCAAGAGAAAGATGAGATCTACGGAAAATAATAATAATGGATATATTCCCATATATACTTATAGAATATTTTGATAGATTTTTATATAGAAAGCCCTGTCTGATGTATTTCAATATAAAATATATTCACTTTTTCATTCCGTTAGATTACTTTGGACGATTTCATAATACCCACTTGACCTCGTTTGCATTAGTACAGGGTATAACTTCAGGCAAAGAAGGCAGAAAGGTAGCCAACGATTGAAGTAAAGAAACCAAATTACATCAAGTCAGGCAAAATGCAGCCAAGCATTCAGGTTTTTATTTAGCCATGCTCTTTGTGTCCAGACAGCTAACAGTCAGTTATTATTGTTATTTATTTAGCTATTTTTTTTTTGCACAACTAACTTGATTTTAGTTAACGGTTGGTTGATTACCGAGGCATAGGTAAGGAATTTGTCTGGCTATAATATAGGTGCAATTGGTCAAGTGTCTAAAGGTCAAAGGTAAAGCTTACTTTTCTCTTAAGCTTATGTGATAGATGAGTCATAGTCAAATGTTTGATGACTCTAGGACTACAAATTTAATGAATTACAAAACTTAATCTCAAATGAAACTGGAAATATCATGAGTATATATTATATGTACTTAGTCGTTATTAAATTCTTAATATTTAATATCACAGAAAATATTAGAGCTTAATAGATGTTTTTAAATGTTGATAGTTGGGAGTATATTTATCGAATTTCAAGCTCCTAACTTTTCTTTGTGATTAAAAATATAAATGATAAGATATCAAATAGAATCTAATATAACTTGTGATAACTAAATGAATAAGATCTAAATGCAGAATAATATGTTGCAATCGATCTAATATAGTATAATCGATAGATGCAAAATATATACATTAATTACTTACGAATCAAGCTATACTTAACTGAAAGATTTCAAGCCCAATATGAATACAAACAGAATCAAATATGTCTAGAGCAGATCAAGTATAGATATATACGATATATGACTACAAATTCCACTTATATGTTTCACTTTCCATAATATCAAGCTAGAATACCCTTACCAGACTTAAATGCAAGGGTATATACATATATGTGGATGTTTGTCTTACATGTTCTTTCTCTTAATGGCATACATTAAAGCAGAAACACAAACCTACACACACACACACGCCACGCAACTTGCACTTCTTGAAATATAAATAACTTTATATTCCTTTTTGAAATATAATATAAATATGCACATAGGAATAATAGTGAATAGTCGAATTTCTAAGAAATTTCTTTAATTGAGGCTGTCGACATTCATTTCGTTCTCAGCGAAAATAGTTTGATGAGGTGCTTTTGACCTAGTTCCACTTTTTATTGGCCATTTTCTTGCTTATTTATATATATTTGCTTTATTTGTTATATACGCCTTAGCAATGCGAATGGCTCCTCCGCTTTTAACCATCTGTCTATATACCCTTGTTTGTTAACGGATGGCTTGTCTTTTAAAGATTCGGCATACATTTGTATAAACAATCCTGCCTTCTGAATAAACCTGCTTAAATACATTATGATTCTTCCAAAACCATGCCAAAAACCATTACTAGAGGTTTTCTTTGGTTCATTGTCCGCTTTATTCAGGAGTGCGGCGTTTCCTATAGAAAGCACGCAGAATAAACCTAAGCAAATGAGGGTTATGCTATGTACAATATTATTCCTTCAAATATATTTATAGCGCTCACCGATAAAGAGTCGTTGCAAATGCATAGCTGACTGCTACACAGAAAGTTTGAAAAAGTTTGTATGCAAATCTGTGTTAGATGTTAATTAAATCTGGAAGCTATATAATAGGTCGTAGAAATCGAAGTTGCCATAAGCCTTGGAAGCTTGAAATTACAATTTCACAGATATAGATTTATCTAGAAAGCTACCTAGAAAGGGAGTATACAAGGAGTATGTAAAGTACTAGCTTTGAGTTACTTAATGAGTCATCGATACAGTTGAACTATAAGCGAAGGAAAAAAGAGCAGAGAAATGAAAAGAAGAGAAGAGAAGTTAGAGTAGAATAACAGAAGGGAATAGAGAAAGTAAAAGAATTAAAAGAAAATGGAACACATCAAAGGAGAAGAAGAAAGCAAACAAAAGAAAAGAGAAGACAACGAAAATTCATAGAAAGACAGACTTCATTTGCAAAAGTATTAAGAAACATTGCTGAATTTCCAATCTTTCCAGAATATATATATATTTTAATTTAATTTAATTGCAAATCCATATATAGATGTATATATATATATATATATATATATTATGTGGGTTGATAAATGGATTTTTAAGTTGCTGTCAAGGATTTTTAATTTCATTCGCCTGAGCCCATAGACTCGCCCAAGATTTGTATTGTAAGTCCTATTTTTCCCAAATAACCGCTGGCCTTTTTGACACTGCTTCCAATGGCATCAAATGGATGTAATACTGTTGACCATATAGCTTGGAATAAACCTTTAGATTCATCATCGTCATCGGCAAATGCTAAATGCTGCACACAGAACAGAACTGTACAAAGATTAATTTCAGGTTTTTTTTTAATTCATTTATTCTTACCAACGATTAGAAAAGTCAAACGCATGTCGATCAATTGCCACAAAGGTCTGTGAAATAATAACTTATATTTTCCTCTCCTTAGACAAGCTACAGCAAGTTAGGGCATACAGATTGATATTAGATAAGCTAAATCTACCGTGAGATGTTTATAACTCAATTTATACAATAGATTAAAATTTAATTGAAAAAGAATGCATAGAAAAGGTCTTAACTTTAGGTTACCAAATAATAATATACATGAATATTGGCTTACATATAGAATATATTTTCTGTCTTAAGATGTATTATATTATTTTTTAAATTTCCATTATTAAATATCAAAATTTATTTCCAAGAAATGCTTATAGCAAATTAATCAATTTTAATAAATCATATTTTTTCCTTTTTATTATTATTGTCTTCGGCGATACTTCAGATAGTTTATCTTGTCTTCACTTTGATATGTCTGTAAAACGAACTGAGCATGTGTGTGTGTGTGTCTGTTGCTGTTGTGCTTTGCTTTAGAGTTCATTTTTCAATTCATTTGCAATATACCGTTATGAGCTGAGTGAGCTAAAATTAAACTCCAAGCGAACCTCTCTCAAGGACAACGTACATGCATACAAGCGTAACTGTTCAACTCATTTTATAAATAGAAATGCATATGTGTGTGTGGGTATATTTTTGTAATTCTATACAGCTTAGAATCGATTGCCGAAATGGCATCGCATTGGAAATGAGCGAATTTTTTTAAGCCAAATCATTTTCAGTGACCATTTCATAGATCACATAAAGTAGACAACTCAGTACTGGGAATTTGATTATATTTGACTCTAGTGCAGCTGTTTAAATCTTATTTGCTTTATATCCATATTCTTAACACTTTTGGCACGTCGCGCGAGTCTTCTGCACTTTATTGTGGAATTTTCCATAGCAGTTTTTCGCTTTGTGTGCATATACACCCACTCTCTCACCCACGCACTCTCTCATATATATATATATAAGAGATATATATATTTTATTTAAAGAGAATGAAACTAACAGAATTTCTTTGTTTTCGACCAGCTGTAGCTGTTCTTCGCTTGCATTTGCATGAAGCGACTTGTCTCCCCCACACACGCATCAACGTCTGCACGTGTATGAGTGAGCGAGATAGTTGGAGAGCGTGAGTGAGTGCGTTACGTGTGGCGTAGCACAGCGCGATCTCTTTCGTTCTCACGAACGCATGCCACGCGCAATATAAGTTTCGTTTTACTTGAGCGAGCACGATAAGCGATTCAATTAGCTAAGTTCATTAACAATTGCATCGAAGATAATTATGAGTAATATATTGATAAGTTGTAAAAAAAAGTTTAGCTTGGGCATGCAATCTCTCCAATATA